ACGCAAGTAATGTTGAAATGTCAGCTGTCAGGTAGCTGTGACTGTCAATTGCTGCCAGAGACCAGCAAACTTCACCAAATATATTTTTCTCTAGCTTTAGCCTATGTTTTAGACTCAAATAGACATGAAATAATTTAATGAATGACTCGTTTTTCAACATTGCTCACCGTATAAAACGCGTGCGGCGTGAGCTCTTACGCCACGGCGCGGGGTCCCGCGAGGGCTCATAAAGATACACGCGGCCGAGAAGCCTGGCAAACGCCCGGCAAGGAAGGGCAGGAAGCCAGGCGGGCAGAGTGGGAGCTGCGGCTGCTGGAGCTCGAGGGAGGATTAAGGCGTTTTTTCCCCCTCCCTTGCTGCCAGGCCGCGCCCGCGCCGTCGACTAGGCCCCCGCCGCGCGGGCCGCAAGCCGGCATTTAAATCGTGTGTCACACGCGGGAGCAAGTTATGGCGGTCCTTAAATTCGACTTAGCCGTGTCATTCCACGCCCCGGTGGCGGGGAGAGCGGCTAAGAGGCGGTCCTGCCGCCGAGCCCCGCCTTTTGGGATGTTTCCAAGAGAATTGACCCACTTTAGGCCACAAAGGAGCTCCTCTCGCCACGAGCGGTATACGGCCTCGCGGCTCTCGGCTGGTCCCGCCTTCACAAAACACACAGAACATAGAGACGCCCTGGTTGGCTTTTTCAGTTCCCTGGTCCCCACCCCACCCCACCCGTCCACGTTTTGCCTCTCAAAGTACCGACTATTAAAGTCACTTCTGACAGCGAATATGCTGCCATGACTGCGTGGATGTGTCTGTGTGTGTGTATATTCGTGTGATCTCAAGTTTGTACGGAAAATACGAGAAAACATGCCCGAAAAAGTGAGGCCGAAGAGAACCCATTAAAATCGAGCAAACTTTGTACGGCGAAAAAAAAAATCCCTTGCCTGCCATACACCTCGCCACGCGCGCAGATTCAAGGTCACTTTCTTGTCCCCTCTGTCACCGACCGTGTCCCTCTGGTGGACCAAAAAAATAAAAAAATAAATCATCATATCCCTGACAATGTATTTTGTGATTGCTCCGCGGCGAGTCGCTCGCTCACCATCCCTTATTCATCGCTCTGACTGAGCGCCCTGAGCGAGCGGCGCGCGGAGCGGGCTCCGCTCGCTCACCTCGGCTGCTGCGCCGCGAGGAGGACGCGGACACGGCCTCCTCGTCGCTGGGCGGGTCGATGCCGGGCGTGAGCACGGCCAGGGTCGCCCGGCGCTGCTTGACGGCGGCGGGCACCTGCTCACCGTCGCCCAGGCCGAGCCGCTGCTCCAGCTGCTGCTCCAGCTGCTGCTGATGCTGCCGCTCGTCCATGGCGGCCGTGGCGCACCTGCTGCTCCGCACCTGCAGCAAACACGAAAAGGGGGAAGGCGCGGATGAGCGGCAGGTTGTCGGCGGCAGGGTTTGTCAGACCCCGCTAAACTTACCCTGACGGCTGCTGTGGCCCCCCGGCCTTCTTGCCCCCCCTGCCTGGTCGGGCTGTTCTTGGCGGAGACCTCCCCCGCTTTCGATGTCCCTCTCCGCCTATTATTTCCGAGAGGACCTCGCCGCCCGTTACCCCGTCCCCTCTCGCCCTCCCAACCTTCAATTACTTTTAATCGCTCCTCTCCGATCCGTGCTCATGCTTCGACATCCCGGCTCAAGTGGCTGCCGGGGCCATAGAGGCGACCACCATAGGCCGGGGCCGACCCGAGCCTAACGGCCATCGTGCGAAACAAAGGCTTTTACAACGCTGTTGACCTTGTGGCCTTATCGTAACGAGGACAAAACAGCTCTCCCCCCCCCTCCAAACCAAAAAGAAAATCACGCCCCTTCCTGTCTCTCTACACCACCACCACCACACTCACACGCTCTCGGCGACGAACCACTTCAATCGCGATATCCATCCCATGATGAGGTTTCAGGTTGGGG